TCGTCCCTACGCGCAACATCATGTCGAGTAAAGAATCCGGTGTCCAAAGGACACCTTAGTAATTCAATCTAAAAATATTATAATTTGCTGGAAAGGGTTCAGATGGGGGTGACTTAAGTGGTGAACTGCCTACAGTCCCCTTGATGCAAGTGCAGACCTGATGCGCTTAACATACTCCCCTTTAAGTGTAGGCAGATTCAAAGCCGTCTTGCACAGGCCTGCTAGATTGTGAGGTGCCGGCACTTTGCCCTGCACTTCGATGATTTATTTGCGCTGACCACAACAAATAACCTGCCTTCCATCCACAACAAGTGGGATCGCAAACCTACTTGAGAAGTTTATATACCTCGCTGGGGACAAGCCACTGACACAACTGTGAGGAGCCGTTAGCGCCGCAAATAGGAGGATATTTGAGTGATTTTCTTCGAGGGAAACTTGGAGGCCTCAGATAACGAAAATCGGACGACAGCTAGTTCTTGCAAAGACGCGAGCGCCTGTAAGACCAAATGACTGATGGTTAGCACCTCGAAAGCCACAGGAATGGCACGTTGAATATTATTTCCTTGCATAAAACATTACTCATCTGTCTGCATCTGGAGTGGTAGTACTTTAGCAAGCGTTCTGTGTATTACATGTGGCACGTGTCCTATGGCACAACATTCGTTACCGCCAGCAGCCTAGCTGGCTGATGGACAGAATGGGGTTCAGTAAGATTTCAACCACAGCAAGTGAGGCTGACACACCTACTTGGCAAACTAATTTTTATTTAAAGTTAAATATGACCCAAGGCAAAAATTCCTACGTGCTTATTTCCCTTTCTAGATGCTTCGGTTGCACACATACAGCCATGCGTAATTGGTGGAATGCAGCACAGGTCGTTACGCGGAAATATCTAGGCCAATGCCACCAACAGATGACCTCCGTTTTGCTCTATTGCGAGAGCAAAACCGTTCGTTTTACGGCAACACCGCAATGCCTACAGAGTAAAAGTAAACGGCCCACTCTTGAATCGTACGTACTGGTGATGCCAAAGAAATAAAATTGGCCTGCAAACTTATCAGACTTTATTGCGAGTTCCTAGGCCATTTCATGCGAGATTCCATTTGAGTTGTAATAGTTGAAAGGCCAACTTCTGCAAACGGTCCTACAACTCTCAATAAGCCGCTAGGTTACACCTCATTCATCTCTGGAACATCTGTCCATCCGCATCTAAGAAGGGCCTGTATAAAGACACAATAATTTGGAGGAAATCTGGCTGTACACCCTCGAATTCCTTATTTTTTACAACCAACAATCGGATAGCATAACTGGCAAAGCAGAACATCAAACAAGTACAGGTAGGGGATGTATTTCAAGCGTCAACAGTAGTTATTTCGAGCACAATTGTATTGCAGAAAAAGTAGCACGATATCCGTTTTCTTCAAATGCTAAGGCGGGTGTGAACAAGAACATACAAGTTCGAACAGACAACATAATATTTCATAAGGAAGTGCTACTGAAACAGGTAAAGTAGTATTGGAAGAACAGTAAGTTTTATATAAGCCGCCAGGTTGACGACGAATGGCAGTATTGTGTGTAATTCCACACAGAATTCCATGCAGGATTCTGGTTTTAATTAGAGTTCGGATTGCGGTCTCGGTTTACGTAGCGACAAGGTTGGGGCTAGGGTCGGTGATATGATTAGGCTAGGGTTACGGCTAATGTTATTGGTTTTGACTAAAATCCAAATCGTGGACCACAGCATCATAAACTGAAATAATTGCATATCTTCTTGCCATGCGAATGTGTTCATTTCCTACGTTGTTAGATTCCATAAGTAGACAGACCGCGCTAATGGACAACGAACATTGTATGATCAGTCATTGGCATACTGAAAGTGTTACATGTGGGATTATTGTAAATTATTAAGTTCTGAGGTTTAGCAAGGAATTGTGCCGAGTTTGCAAAAAAATCGCCCCGGAAAACGAACTATAGACAAGGCAATAATTTAAAATATACACAAGATCGCTTATTGATTTCCATGAACTTACGCGACCTTCAAAAGCTGCGCAAAATGTGGGATCGAGAAGAAGGGTACCGACGAGATGTGGTTCTATCATCTAGAGTGGAAATTGTGACTGATGTATAAAAGTAGCAATATGTCGGCTGTTCGATTTGACCTTTAGATGCGTTGATATATATGAAAGTGAATAACAGAGTGAAGTCACTGTTGCGTATAGGCCGACAAGTCTGGCTTGATGTGTCTGTGCCTTTATGCGTAGAAAACAGACAACAAGCGAAAAAATACCTGTTGCTCAAGCAGGAGGACACAATAAATTTAGATTGCTTAGACCGATTTGTGCCATGTATAGTGCCTTAACCAAAAGCTGCTCACTGGTGATTCACTGTCTACGTCTTTTCCACAGCAACCGGATTCTAATACGGAGAATGGAACCTTTTGTGATATGGTCATAGAGGTGCACGTTTAAGTAAGAAGACGCAATTAATTTTCACATCTGTTTGTGGCCGACATGAGTGACACTGGATTGAAGTTGAGATGGAAAAAATTATCGGGGAAATCAAGCCCTAAAAAGCATTAATTTAGAATAAACATAAAGTGACTGATTATTTTCGTGAACCATCAGGCTGAGGAGAAGAGTACTGATGAGGCGTGGTGCTATCATCTGCAAGTGGAATTGTGTCTGATGTATAAAAGTAACGGATGTCTGGCCGTTAAATCTGACCTCCGGATACCTTTATATATAAGTAGAAAACAGATTGGAATCACACGGAGAAATAAGATAATTGATCAAGCTGCCGCGTAAGGGTAGGGCTAAGTAGTCTGCTTTGATGAGTCCGCGATTTAGAGCATAGAATACCGACAACGTGCGCAAAAATATTTGTTGCTATAAGAGAGGGGCTCAATAAACACGGAGTGTCGTGTATGACAAAACTTATGAGTCGTAACCAATTTCACCCCCTCTTTTCCCACTGCTCCATAATCATAACGCGTCGTTCTCATCATGCTGGTGTCGTGGGAATTATAAGTGCCTAGAGCGACTGATTTAATTAAATGCCCTGCGAACTTCTCGTATTTTCAATTTTTATGTTACTTTATTGGCCTGCTAATGAGTACCAAAACCTCGTGCTTGCCAAATTGTCTACTTCCCGGCTGATGACAGATGACTGGTCAGAAATGGCCATTTCAGTCTTCGCTGTCTTTGTCTTCGTGTTCTAATTCACGTAACGTGATGAAAGTATCTGGTGTTAGGATTTTCCGACATTTAGACGATGCGTATTTTTTTCGCCAGTTCACTTCGCTTAAGTAAGCGTTTTCTGATTAAAAAATGTGTTACACTTGAAAAGTGAAGTTGGAAAACACGTGTTTTTGGTAATTCTTCGTCAGGCGAACAGAGTTACATGAAGGAATAAAAATGCACAAAATTAACAGTGTTTATAGGTGTCTTAAGAGCTGCTTATTCATTAACACTCATTTTTCCCACGTTACCCGCATGACGAGATCGATGGGTTTTGGTCCTCAGAGCTAGGGCAGGGGGGTAAGAGAGTATACGAGCAATGTTCTTGGATTGAGTACACGTAGTACCCATCATTGCGATTAGGAATATGGGGAGGCACGTCGTCATCACTTGAAGTTGGCGTTGGCCACGTCTGAGAGAGCGCTTGTGTCAGGGTTTTCTGACAGCATAACACTGGATTCACTAGCCGTATAGCCACTGCTTCAGCCTCCGCTAGTATCCGCTGGCGTAGACCTTTAAAGAAGCTTGTTGGTGTTCGATAGACAACATGAAATGCTTCGTTGGTATCACTCAGTGATCTGTATCGATTAAATGTGCGAGAATAGAACTCGAATCGAGTAAGGATCCGAAACGTCAGGCAAATAAATTTCTTGTTCCGGTGATCGCATCTTCATCTCCAGATTATGATCATTTGTTTAATCGTAATTTGTCCACAAGTTACAATGGATATCCTCGCTACTTGCTGTGATACTGCATTGCAACAGATGTGACGGAATAGAATTCCATAAGGTGTTTTTGCCGTGAAACCAAATTTTAATGATGCGAAATGATAGATTGAAGGGCCAAACTGAAAGGCGGCCGACCACATGCGCTGCTGAGGACCGCTCACAGAAAAGTGCCCGACAGACGAGTTTAACCACTTAAGAAATGACAAACATTTACCCAGTTTCTGCAGCCTACGAATGCGTCTTTGCCAACTTTGGAAATGAGCACGTGCTGAGGCGTTCTCTTGCATTGTCTGAAACCGATGCTTTTGCTGTATGTGATAAAAATATTGTTGACGATTAATGAAAAAAAGTAGTTGTCTCCCACCGCTGTGGGAACTAGTGGAGAAAACAGAGTGCAAAACATTTACAGAGGCCACGAGCTCATTACCAAAAACGGTATTAAACTACTTTAGCAGAGGACGACTGATCCAGCTGGCGATAAGATAATCGTGCACGATGCAGCATTGGAGAAACAGATCCGTCAGTATTCCGAAAAAGCGTCAAATAGAAAAGAGGTTCTGTCTCAAAACGTACATCACATTTGACAGAGCAGGTGAGATGCGCCACAATGACAGATATTTGAACCCCCAATAGAGACTGCCCATCGACGGTTGGAGTCATTGCTCTACAAAGATAACAGACTAAAATTCTGAGGTCGGGATGTAGACGATTATCTCGATCTCATCTACTAGCCCGCAGACAAAAATTACGGCCGAGGAAGAAGGAAGAAACCAATTAGCATATTTGTCCGTAGCAAAGTCTGAAATACTCCGCAGATCAGATAATGAAATGCAAACACCCATCAGGTTATAAGAATTTTCGAAACGTTTGCCCATAAACAAACAAAACTAAAAATCCATGCCATAGCACAAACGCTAAATGTCCCACGACAATAAAAAAAATATGTATAATTAGCATACTTCCATTGGCACCCTCCAAGTAGTAGATAGCAACGACTTCTGTTTCATGTAACCTACAGTACAAAAAAACGTCAGACTTAACCAGGAATTATGGAATGCCAGCAGTTATCCAATCTCATAGAGGACTGCAGGTGGGCTGCGTCTGCCGCATTGTGAATAACTTTCCACAATTTCACGTCGTCGGCAAACAGGATGACATCACAGTCTAGCTCCTCGATGCAGTCATTTATGAAAACGAGGAATAACGTGTGACCTAAGACTGAGGCCTGTGGGATGCCACTCACCACGCTTACATCTGAGGACTGCTGACGCCGGACCTGCACTATTTGGGACCGTCCAGCCAAAAAGCTGTGGATCCATACAAGACGGCGTCCACGAATTCCAGCGTTGTGCAGTTTGTACAAGAGACGTTGGTGAGGAACGCTGTCGAAAGCCTTTTTGAGGTCGATGTAGATGGCGTGCACCACATTGCCTTCATCGCGTGCTTTGGTCCAGCGTTCGAGCGTAAAGAGCAGATTCGTGAGGCAGGACCTACCACTTCGAAAGTCGTGTTGGGCATCGGAGAGGAGGTTGTGCTGCTCGAGGAACTCCATCAAGGCCTTTTTTATGATCTTCTCCATGATTTTACAACAGATGGAGGTAAGACTCACTGGCCTGTAGTTATTTGCAGACGCACAACTTCCACCCTTAAAAAGCGGAGTGATGGTAGCGGACTTGCAGTCAGAGGGCAGGCACCGAGTAACAAATGACATTTGGAAGATCAAGGTTAACAGCTTGGACATTTCGGGAGCCAGCTCCTTCAGCATCTTGGCCGGAATTACATCAGGGCCTGAGGAGGTTAATTCTTTTAGGTTTAGTAATTCATTCCGAACAATTGTGTCGGTGACGAAGACGGCTTCGAGGGTAGGCGTTTCGTCGCATTCATAAGTGGGTGAGAAAAAATCAGGTTCACTTGTCACGACTGACCGGAAGAACTGAGAGAAATGTTCAGCCTTATCCTTGTCATCGGAGATTTCCGCACCCTCAGCCGTTTGCAGCAGTGGGACGGGATCTTTGTTCCGTGTGCGCTGTCTTAGGCAGCTGTAAAGGATTTTGGGATTAATCGTGGCACGGTTCAAAAGATTCTTTTCAAAGGCTCTCCGATCTCTCGCGATGAGAATTTTGATCCAATTTCTCTGTAACCTATAACTGCTTAGGGATTTTGGCGTCCGGTCCGTCAGAGATCTTTTCTTTAGCTTCCTCTTCTTGTTAACTTTCTTCTTTAAGGACATAGTCAACCAGTGAGATCTATTTGTTAGTCTTATGCACATGATTGGGCAGTGGTTGGAGATGAGGTTGTGGACTAACTCTTTGAACTAACACCAAGCCTCTTTGACATCGCCGGAGAGAGTGAATGCCCAGTCGATAGGACAAGATCCTTTTTCATCTGCTCGAAATCGCCGCGCCAAATATTCGGTCGGGAATCGAGTGGTTGTGCAGGTAGGGAGAATAAGGTGTATTCCCACATGAGAACTACGGGGAGAACGTGGGGAGGCAATTCACAACGTCGATGTTGTCAGACGACTTAGTGAACACAAGATCGAGGCAGTTCATTTGTTGGTCCTCTCGAACTCTCGTTGGAAACATTACGTGTTGGGTGAGAAGCAGGTTGTCGGAGGTACTTCGTAGCTGCTGGTCAAATGCTGCTTCAGAGCAGTCGGCTAAGGCCGAGCTCCAGTTTATGTGAGGCGCATTAAAATTTCCACGATGAGAGTAGTCGGCCGAATTGAAAATAATCAGAGCTCCTCCAGCAGTTGGGCATCAGCGTCAGGGTCATTTCTCGGGGGACGATATACTGCCAAGAAATCGAGACTTTGATAGCCCGGTGTCCTTATATTCAGCCATAATGCTTCGGTACTACAAGTCAGTTGGGCAGTTTTTTCTGAAACGTGTAAGCCATTTTTAACAAATATTGCTATGCCTTCCATCCCTTCTGGTTTCTCTGTCTCGGCGGAACAGTGGAAATCCAGGGAGCATGAGCTCTCTATCATCAACCTGTTCGGACAACCATGTTTCTGTTATTGAGATAACGTCTGGATGGAGGTCGTAGGTATGGATACGGAGTTCGTCCACTTTTGAAAGTAATCTTTGCGCGTTGGTATTCATGAATATGAGTTTCGAAATCATGCGAGATTTGTTTTCAACCCCGACACGGGCCACTGGGGTAGCTGTGCGGTCATTCGGATCGGCTTGACCCAGAGGGGAGCGGAATGCCGTTTGACAATCCGGTCTTCGTAGATTGTCAATTTTTTCTCCAATCGTTTGCCGTGTTCTCTATTCTAGGACAAGTTCGCGGCGTTTCATTCTCTCGGCAGGCGAGTAGTCCGGCTGAAAAAACACTCCTTTATGGGAATGCTTCAATCGAAAACGCCTGGAAAGGATTAATTTCGCCTGCTCATCGCTACCTAGGACGATTTTTAGGGGTCGTGGTCGCGTCTTCGGAACGGCATTTGAACGGCTACCAAGACGAAACGCCTTTAGGACTGTGACATCTTCTGTTGGTTGCAGCATTTCATTTAGGTGTTTCTGGAATTGCTCTAAGTCAGCAGCGACTCGTTCCCTGGGGGTTCTGGCGGAGGACTCTGGGAGGCTCTGAATTATGATGCAGTGGTCCCTGTTAAGCATTCCTCTGTCTTCTGCGATTTGGACGTCGTTGGTTGGCCCTATGGCCTCGTCGATGTGGACTGGAGAAGAGGAGGGGGCTGCCATATTGGTATTTATGTCCCCGTGAAGTTCGTCCGCGGATCCTGTTGAGGCATCGTGAATAGTTACATAGTCGATCAACAATGCCTCCCATCAGAGGGCACTGTGGAGAGCTTGACCCCCATGAATTAGAGGCTTCCTCAGCTCGATCCTCAACTCTGTTGACATGGGAATTCGCGGTGGCAGTTAATTTCACCCTGCGTCCATAGCCATATGTCTTTGAGCTAAATGATAATCCCTCTAAGTTAGGCTCAGGAAATGAGCACACTGTCTGAGGATTATTAAGGTTGGGCGTCATCTGCCCCATTACTTCCACTTCTTCCGTTGACACATTTACATTCGTTTCATTTTTCAACTGCTTTTCGGGCAAGGTTGATGTACGCTGTTTCGTATTCTGGCGACTTTTCCCCTTGGTGTTAAGTGTCGTCTCCTTCATTTTATTCTTTTTTTCATCGGAAGCCACTACTTGACTACTAATAGCAGTTGTCTTATTCACCACATGATTGCTTTCCGGGGATTCTTTACACTAGATGGCTCTCGCTCTACTCCGAATTAGCCCCTGCGTAGATAACACCGGACGGTCCTCTGAAGAAATAGTCTTGTGTGTAAGTTCCTTCAGATTTCTTACTTCTTCCTCTTGTATCTTGTAGGTTATCGTTTGTCAACCATTACTTGAATATCCTACCATATCCTGCGGTGACGAGTTAACAAAACTTTGAGCTGTGCAGCCCAGCCGTGCGTCGGTGGTGTAGGGGTTGGCGGAGCAGGCTCTAGCTTCTGAGATTCCCGGTTCGAACCCCAAGTGCGCGTTACTTTGGAACACTAGTGCAGACGGCTTTTCTATATACACAAAAAGCGTAGGCTTAAGTATGAAGGAAAGACTTTTATGACGATCTTTCGGTAGAAAGTAACTTTATTAGCTGAATGGGAAGGTATGGTCGAGCAGCTTTCGAGAGCAGAAATTTAGACAAATACTTTGAGGTGATGATGAAACAATGTCTAATAGTAAAAAAGCAACTCAGCCTTCGTAGAAGTTTAGGATGTATTGTTCTTCAAATAATCCGACTTTCTGGGCTTGCGAGTATTAGAAACGAGGAAGGCCGAAATCGGAGTTCTGGGAATGTGCTGCAGGAGACTAGTTGGGAGGAAGATATTGATGAGTCGAATTTAAGTCTTAATTCCGATAGGCTCGAAGAGCGTACAGCAAGTCCAAATCTCGAAGTAACTTACTTCCTCGGAGGGCGAAAATTTGAAATCAAATTCGAAAAGCAAGCGCTCTGTATTTTTGCACAGTAACTACCAGACTTTTTTCGTGTTCCTCGGGACCCCTAACAAGGAAGAACATTCGCGGGTAAAGCCAAAGTCAATACAGTCTGCCAATTATCCGTGGATTAGGCAGTATAATTCTGAAACCAAAAGAATTTCCCTATTTTCAGGCAAATCGAGTATTCGACAGTGAAGTCCCGAAAGGGAGTAAAGCTAAGCTTTTGCACGGTGATTTTCTAGCATCAAACACATAGATCAGAAGAAGAAGCGATCGCTGGAACAATGGCTTTATAAAGCCATTGTTCCAGCGATCGCTTCTTCTTCTGATCATTTAGTTCCTGGAACTCGCATTTTCGCTTGTATCGGCATCAAACACATATTCTACATTGTCTGCGCATATCTGTCGACCAATAATTCGGAAAGCTATTTGTTCTGCTTGACACTGTGGTTGTTTGAAATAAGCAATCCTTCTTTGTGTGCCGTCTCAACTCAATGTACCTTGGGCGTACACCCAGTGTTACAACACGTAAAATATAGCTACGCACATGTTTCCCGGACATGAGATGCCGGATAGTGTAACTTTATAGACAGAGTGCTGATTCCTCTTTACGTTGTATAGTACACCATTCACGTATAGCAAACAACTACTGCCACAGTTTTAATCCTAGATATGGCCACAGTGACGATACACTATTATTTGCAGATTTTCTCTATCGCCCAAACATATTTTTCGCATGAAAGTCTTACCCCGCTTGCGTTATGCCGTCCTGCGTGCTGCTGTTTGACTCTCGTGTTCTCATGTCCATTCTGTCGGTTAGAGTACTATCGCACATACTGCGGAATGACCTTAAGACACGCTGCCTTCTTCCTATTGGTTGTTCGCCTTCACTTGCTATTCTTTCCAAGCTGGGGCAAGAATGCATTTATTCCGCATACCGTACTAATTATCCATGCTTATTTCTATATCCTCCTTGCATATTTCACCTTATTTAAATTAGGCTTATACTTTGTCAGGAACCTCAATTCCAGGCATACACTACCAGCGCCATTTACGCGTCCACTCATCTGCTCCACCCGCATAGCCCCTATTACCACCAGTTCCGTAAGACAGGTAGCTGGGAGTTTTCGGTACCGGGAGGGCTACCAACTACAATCTAACCGCCATCCGTTCTGCCAAACACTGTTGTTCTTTGAAATAAGCAACTCTTCTTTGTATGCCGTCCTTACTCAATGTACCTTGGGCGTACACCCAGTGTTACAACACGTAAAATTTAGCTACGCACGTGTTTCCCGAACATGAGATGCCAGATAGTGCTAGGAACAGCGGGTATTTGCGAGTTTCGCAATAAATGACCGGACAGCTTCAAATGTCCACTCCTCTTCTACCAAACTTTCAAGTTCAGAACAGGTCCGAAGACAGCCGTAACAATGGACATATTTTCGGGTCGATGAATTTAAACCGCAGTTTTTCATCAAACGCATTTTTGTGCCAATCATATTAAAAAGCCACTTTTGCTATATATTCGGGTTCGTTGTTTGAAAATGCGACATGCATGTTTGTCTATTATAATGGGCCACTAATAGAAAGGTCAATTTTAAGTTGAACAACTCCGTCTTGAACGCTTTGACTCATTGAGAAAGCAGCAGAAAAGGCAATAAAAACGGAATGAAAATAGCAACAACAAAGCATCGACCGCTAAAATGGAGAGAAGGGGGACAGAATCCATAAGTAAATGCTATGCATTGGTGATCATAGTACAACGAAATGTTGGTCGTCAACCAAAGCCACTGACAGCGTTTGAGTCGCGTTTACCGATCTGAAGGACGTTTTGGGTTTTAGTCCATCCCGAACTTTACTGCTGTCAGAGAAATTACGAGGACCCATTGGGCTGTTTTCTCCTATCTCAGTCGTTAGTTTTATGTACGGGTTGACCGATGGTACTTCAATGTTAAAATCCGGCGGCAAAAGTATCTTTACATTTAATCTGCAGGATTTCGATCTGTTGTTTTGTAAGAACGGTGATTCCAACCGCCTATAGGCAACCTTCGTTGTAGGCCCAGAAATGGTTCGATTTATTGTTGTGCACATCACCTGTCAGTAGATGTTTGTTTTGAAAGTAAAGTACATTCTGTGAAAAAACTCCAGAAATTTGATTGCTTGAGGATGTGCACGATGATTCGTCGTTTCATCCTGTTTGCGCTGTAGGAGTAGTAAATTCATCTTAACCTCTAGATCCCGAAAAATAACAGTAAAATTGGACGC